AACTTAGGGAATTCGATTTTCAATTAAGAATTAGGACTTGGGTATAGATTCTATGAATTGGGTTGCGATCTAGGTGAAATCAACACCCTACATTGTTTATTAGTTAAGTTGTTGAGTTTTGCTTAATTTCATTATCATTCATTTATATTTTGTAATTTGTATTTAGTTTGTTATTTTCCATCAATCCAATTTATTGTTGCTCAATAGGATTTAAACTAGAGAATTTGGTACTTAGTAACACTATCCTCGTGGGAACGATACTCACTTATCACTTTATTACTTTGTGCGACTAGTGCACTTGCCAATTTGCATTTTATGAAAACAACACATCATTGCTGAAATCAAATGACCCAGATATTCTAATTGTTGTTGCCCAAAAAAATATTTTTTTCCGATTGGCCGCTAGTTGATGTTCCAGCAGCTTCTGAAATGTGAGACTAAGATGTTTTGCATGGTCATCCATTGATTTGCTGTACACGAGGATATCATAAAAAAAAACCAAGATAAATTTCCGAAGGTAGGGCCTATAAATCTCATTCATCAAGGCTTGGAATGTGGATGGTGCATTGGTCAACCCGAACAGCATAACCAAGAATTCATAGTGCCCTTCATGAGTTCTAAAAGCTGTCTTGTGGGTGTCCTCAGATCGAACTCTAATTTTGTGGTAACTTGACTTTAAATCAAGCTTGGAGAATACCTCGGCTCCCCCGAGTTCATCAAATAACTCATCGATGGTTAGAATGGGAAATCTATCGGGAACTGTCAGTTTGTTGAGTGCCCTATAGTCTACACAGAACCGTCAACCACCATCCTTCTTCTTAACCAACAGAACCGGGCTAGAAAAAGGGCTTACACTAGGCTTAATAATTCCTGAAGCTAACATCTCACTAAAAATATCCTCAATCTCCTTTTTCTAGTTATACAGATATTTATATGGCCTAAGGTTTGGGGGTTGGGCTTCCAAAATTAGTCGAATCGCATGATCTTGGGATCTACTTGGGGGTAACCTTGGCAGTGGCTCAAAAACACTCTGAAATCTTTCTAACACTGGTGACAACCTATTGTTGATGACTGTTTCATCCTCCGCCTGTTTATGCAACTGCCCAAACTCAACCATGTATCATGTCCCTTCACTCTTCGCCGTTCTGATCATGGCTTTTAAAGAAACCAAGTGTTGGATCCCTTAATAGTGTCATAGTCTCAACACTCAACTTAAACTTCATTATCTGCTTCCTCCAATCCATCGTAGTCTCCCCTAACATTTCCAACCAAGCCATGCCTAGGACTACATCGGCACTACTCATGTCAAAAGGGAAGAAATCTTGGATTATCTAAACCTTCTGGACCTCTAAACACATTGCCTTACACTCTCCCTCACTCCGCACTTTAACCCATCTCTAATTCTCACCCCAAAAGCTTGTGTTTTCTCCACAGAAATACCTAACTTCTCTACCATCTCCCTGCTAATAAAATTGTGGGAAGCCCCACTGTCAATCAGAATGATAACCTCCTGACCCTTAATACTACCCTTGAGCTTCATAGTTTTTGGCCCATTTATCCCCACCACAGAGTTAAGAGAAAGTTCAACGTTACCTTGTGGTTGTTCTTCCATCGCCCCATCACTGACTCCCGCTTCAATCGGGTCAGGATCTTCCTCTTCTTCATCAACAAGAATGATTTGGAATTGTTTTTCGCCACACTTATGGCCGAAAAAGTTTTTTCTGTCGCACTTGAAGCATAACCCCTTTTCTCTCTTTCGTTGAATCTTAGCCTCAGTCATTTTTCAAAATGGAAAGTCTCGTCGCAACGGAAGAGCTCTGTCAAATTATTGGAAAGTGGTCGAATGATATTCGCGGGGAGAAGAACTCGCCGATGAACCAAGAGTAAATCCCTCTGCACTTCGTCGCCCAGAAATTGGATGAAGATTGGATTTTAGGGATTCTCCCAAATTTGGGAATTTTTGTGGATCTCCGGATCCAGTCGAAGTCGGGTTAAAACTCCTGGACTAAGTTGCACTTGACCCGACATTATACCCAAGCCCATTCCACCTATTAATCCTTGCTGGGCCAGCCTTTACTTCTTCTAAGGCCCAATTGCGCTCCTCCACTCTATGGGCTCTCTCAATTGTTTAAATAAGGGAATCAGGTTGGATTAGTCTTAGATCAGCCCGAATTTCTGCTTTAAGCCCATTTAGAAACACTGCGTTTAGGATTTCTTCCTTCTTCTCTACCAACAATGCAGCTACAGCTTCAAACCTGCGTCTGTACTCCGCAACTGTGGTGGTCTGTTTCATAGCCATTAGTGTCTCGTAAGGATTGCTCTCTTGAGATCCACTGAATCGCTGAATCAATGTGAGTTTGAACGATGGCCACGAATTCACAGGTGCTCTGACCTTCATCCATTGATACCAGTTAATGGCTTCCCCTTCCATACAAATTGTCGCCGCTATTAGCTTCCCTTCATCAGAAATTCCGTTCAGGCTAAAGTATCTTTCAATTCTAAAAATCCAACCGTAAGGATCCTCACCCACAAAAATGGGTAATTCCAATTTATGTCCTCCTACCTCACTTTGGTATTGTCCCAAGCTCCCTGATCCACTTGCTCTATTTTGGTTTTCCCCTTCATGATTTCTCACATTCCTTGATGAAGTCTGTTCACCACGTCCAGCTTCTTCTTCATCTTTTCTCCTCATCCAACTATGTATTTCAACCATGCATTCGCGAATAGTTCCCATATCAACTCCCAATTTCGTCACCTCTCTTTCCATATTTTCTAGTCTTGATTCCATTCTCGTTGCAACCATTACCCATACATCTACTCTGATACCAATTTGATGTGAACCTACCCAGATTCACTTACTTAGCCACACCCCAAAATGATAATCACCAGAATATACTCAAACAATTCAAGGAAACATAAATATTCATATATCTATATAACTGTATTGAGATGATCATTACACTCATTCAGGCTGATTATATCCCAACACAAGAATAACAAGAATTAAATCAAAAATAACACTGAATACTAATATGCTGGACTTCAAGGGCCAGCTACCTCCATTTCACTATATTCTCTTGTCAGATAACACTCTTAATCTTCTGTTGCTCCTTTTATTCAATTCCCTTCTCCTAACAAAATTCAACCATCCACCATACTCCTTTTGCCACCTGTCCATTCTACTTTTTCTTCTCTTCACACGTTAGTTGTCCTTTTATCACAGTTAATCCACTATTGCCCCTTCCTACGTTTCTTATTATATACCAACACCTCACGTGTTGCATCACATTCACTACAAAACTGCATATATCTGTGTGTATTACATTATCACTAATTGTTGTGTCATTACCATGTTTCTCAGCCTCGTGTTTGTGTTCATTTTTTTGAGGTGATGTGCATATTACACACAGCCGTGGCTTCATCACCACTGTCAAGGCAGGTTGTTAAGATAGTCTTTGGTGATAGAAGGGGGAATTGAGATGCAATGATGGAATAGTAGTATATACACATTGTTGGAAGGTTTTGGCCTGAATATCTTACTGGAAATGTTAACAAACTCAGATTGCGTGTTCTTTTACCCTATATTACCTAATGATTATGGATTCAGCAGCTTGGATGATAATGTGGTTTTTCTTGAATCTGGTTTTATTTGTCGTCGAAAGATTTTTCATACGTCTGGTTTAGTATTAATGCATTATAGCCTCTCCCTCTATCTATGAATTATGTGCGTTTATTTGATGGGGCGTAAACTTTAAACTTGTTACAAGCATCATGACTTTACAGTATGTTAAACGAGTTGTACTTACAGTTTGGTCTTGCCTTTTTTATGTACATGGTAAAGATATACAGATAACTTGTTCTGTTGATTCATTGTTTGAGCGTGAGTAATCAGCATCATCTTCTTGTTGTATACGTGTGCCATTTTTAATTTTTTTTTTTTTTTTTGGGTTTTGTCGACCTAAAAATTGAGTTGTTAAAGAATATGATGTCATAATTCGTAAATTTGTAGGGTCATTTGCTAGCATTGTTGATAATTTTAGTTGTAGTTCTGTTACTGAAATTGAAATGCTCATTAAGTGAGTAGTTTTTGTAAACGAAGTTTATGCATGTAAGGTTTGGATGCGGGCTGGTTTCTGCATAAAGCCTGTCAATGTGTTATTTAATTACATATGTATTGCAGGTTGGACGGGGAACATGTTGTATTGGGTAAGGTCATTCAAGGCATGGACACTGTGTATGCAATTGAAGGCGGAGATGGAACATACAGCGGAAAACCAAGAAGAAAGGTCACAATTGCAAACTCAGGAGAGAAACCCAAGAGTAAGTGGGATGAGGAAAGATGAGCCTCCTTCGGACAGTTTTAGATAATTGATTCACTTTTTTTTTTTTTTTTTTTTTCCGCATTGTATTATGTTCATGAAATTTAATTAAATCGTGACTAAGATCCAACAATCATAGGTGCCACTTGGAAATATTATATGTGGCCTTTTGTATCCAGTAACTGTTATAAATACTAACATGTACATTATTACGCAATGAAAAGGAATGATATTGTTCTTATTTTATGCAGTGAGCTTGACTAAGCTCAGTTATTGCGTTTCTTCCCTGGTTCCACTTGTTTTGGGCGGTTATGTCGAGGGGAGTTTGCTGGAAGTTTGGTGGTGAGATGCTGGGGTTTTTTCTGCAGATTTTTATTGTTGTAGTGTTGCATTTGTGCTGGAAAATTATAAAACTCCATGAAAAATGCAGTTTATGCAATTTTTTCCCTTCTCTAATGTTTCATCAAGATTGGAAAACTGCATGAAAAATGTAGTTTATGTAGTTTAGCGGAAGAAAATATATGATGTTCATCCAATTATGTCCTTGACAATTACAAATGGTCAACTTTTTTGTCATGACAATGAAAATGAAAAATACATCCAACAGGGCATTTTCATTAAATAGTAGAAGGAGAATGTTGCATAAAATAAAAATATATTAAATTAAATTTTATAGAACTTGTGCAGAACATGTGTCTTAACTATGTTTTTGAATGAGTTGGGTTATGAAAACTTGTACACAAGCGACATTACAACATGAAGAGTGTGAAGTGATGAACTGGCTGTTTTGATCAGTTTATTTTTTCTGCCCTTTTTTTTCCAAATTGCAATTGCTCTTGCTTGCATCCTCCTACCAAGTATGACAACAACCTTCAATGGTTTCGCGTGCTGAATAGCTACAACATGGAGATAACATAATAATGAATGAACCAATTTAATTATGTTATATGGTTTGCTAGTGGACCTTACTATTCAAGTTAATCTTGAAAATTAAATATAAAAGAACTTTGAAAGAGGCAATGAAGGAAAGGGAAAGTCACCTCGTTGCTGCCATAGTGCCATGATGAAGTTCTTTAGTTTGTTTTCCTCTGATCAGATTCAACGCTCAGAACCTGCAGCCACGCCCAAAATATCAACAAAAAAATGTGAAAGACAAACATATTAACACCATTCAAAAAGTTACCAGTTCAAGATAAAAATATCAAGCCAAATATAGAGACGATGCCTTGTTCTTAGTGGTTATCCAGCAATCAGTTCCCTTGTTATGCAAAGACTTCAGTCTTACTATAGAGTTTGGATGCCTAAGAACACAAAAGAACATTTAAAATATAATTAACAATTAACTAGCACGTATTTACAATGACATATGCAACTAAACACAAAAAAAAAAAAAAAAAAATATCATTAGAAATACTCTCCAAATACTACATTTTTATACAAAGATGGGATTATTTTGGGCAATAAAGTTTGATGAAGGTTAATTTTAATATTCCATACCCAAAACCATAGAATCATACATTTCTTTTCTTCAGATCAGAAAAATATTCAAACTTTCTTATCTTCTAAAATTTCCCCAGCATCAAAATAAAGTTATACAAGTAAAACACTACCGAATCTACTTCAAAATCAAATATGTAACAGTCCAAACAATACTTTTTAAAGTTCCCAAGATAAAAAATACCTTATATTTAGTGTCAACAATTTTTTTTAGTGTTAACAATTGAGTGATCCATTTTCGAATAATCTGCATCAAACAAACAAACACAAATTTAACATGGAACGCATACACAATCAAACACTTGCATCAGTAAAAATGAAGGGAGAAATCTAAAGATTACTAGATTCACGGTCTCGTGAGATCAAAATAAATACTCCCAAAATGACAGCTACAATTAGTGCTCCTCAACCGAAACCAAATCTCAAATCCGCTCCTTACTTTGTTTCAACAAATTCAGAAAAAAAAGAACAAAAATTAAATGGAGCTGATTTCAACTTTTACGTCACTTTCTTTGCCCTTTCCTTTATGTCAACATTTTAAATAAAAGAATTGAAAAACATTTAAATCACTGTTTCCGAAGAGCAAAACAAAAGGATAAACAACTTCAGCTTTAAAAATTAATAATCTGTGAAAATGAAGGGAATTTGGATAAGCCGAGAGATGCCACTGGAATCGCACAGGAGAGATGGGTTATGATTACAGTAACCTATTAGTGACTCTTAACTGCCAGATAGAGTTAGATGGCGGCAAATTGGTGCGACTATGGTGCCTGCCGTGGGGATGGGTTGAGGTTGGAGATTGTGGTGGCTAGGGTTTCAAAAGTTGAAAGGAAATTGTGGAAGAATTTTAGGGTTTCTGTTTTAGAATAAACAAAAATTGATTTGGGATGTGGATTTAGCACAAATCGAAAATTTGAGTTTGCAATTTTTTTCTTTTTTTAAATATGGGGAAGTGAAGTGGCAGTTGGGTGACATGTCAGGTGAGGTGGCATTGCCACATCTTAGTATAAGAGAATAAAGTAAAAATATGGTGTAACCGTAGCATTTCTCTTATTAAAAATAGGCATAGATTAGACTATTATTTTTAAAACTTTGATAGATACATATACAGGTGACGGTGGGCCATGCCGTACTGTGCCTAAAAATTCAAGGCTCATCGTACCGTGGGCCATATGCCATGCCAAGGCCCACATAGTTTTGTGCCCTGTCGTGCCGTGCCGACTCACGAAATTCGAAGGCCCACGACATGGCCCGTTATATATCGTGTCGTGTCTTGGGCAGTGACATGGGCCGACCCACGTGCGTTGTGAAAATATTTTATTTTAATATTTATAAATTATCGTAATTTTGATTTATTATTAACAATTATTATAAAAATATTTTTATTGTTATATTTAGTGACATTTTGTATTTATATTAATTAAAAATATATACTCACTATGAAATATAATAAAATAATGAGACATTGTAATATTAATTGAATTTCAACACTTTTTATTACTTATAAGTTATAATTATAAATTACAAATACAAATTTAGAAATTATGATTAAGAATTAGTATACATTTTCATTTGTATTAATTTCTAAATTCTTAAAATTTTCAAATATATCTTCAGCAACACGATTTTGAAGCTTGAAATCTGCCACCACCCAATTTTTCGTACACGGGGGTAGCGACTATTTTAAACTTAAAATCGTGTTGTTGAAGCCATTATGTGTACGAAAGATTGGGTGGTAGCGGATTTCAAGCTTCAAAATCGTGTTGCTGAAGATATATTTGAAGATTTTAAGAATTTAGAAATTAATGAAAATGAAAATGTATACTAATTCTTAATCCTAATTTCTAAAATTGTATTTGTAATTTATAATTATAACTTATAAGTAATACTCTCCAAATACTACATTTTTATACAAAGATGGGATTATTTTGGGCAATAAAGTTTGATGAAGGTTAATTTTAATATTCCATCCCCAAAACCATAGAATCATACATTTCTTTTCTTCAGATCAGAAAAACATTCAAACTTTCTTATCTTCTAAAATTGCCCCAGCATCAAAATAAATTTATACAAGTAAAACACTACCTAATCTACTTCAAAATCAAATATGTAACCGTCCAAACAATACTTTTTAAAGTTCCCAAGATAAAAAATACCTCTTACTTACTAAGCAATTAATGCTCACTCCGTTGATTTCACTATTTTTGCTGTAATAGATGAGATGCGGTCGGATGGAACTTCAAGAAGCAGAGGAGAATGGCACTACTGTCCAATTGTATTTTGAGTTTATGTATATGACTTTCTTACTTAATGTAGAGAATTCGTATATTAAAGTAAAGTTAGTTTTGGGCCCACTATCTTATATACATATATGTTTTCTATAACATATTTAGTGTTTTCATATTATAATTTCCCAAAGTATACTAGCTAGAGAGAGTTATTACAATGTGGGTGAGGACTGTACTCAGAAAGAATTTCAGAATACACTCACACGGCCAGGGTTCCAAATCCATGCCTCAGCCTAGTCCGATCGGCAAACCAGAATAGAATAAAGAGAAGAAAAGAAAAGAAAGAGAAACAGAATAAGAGAAAGAAAACATAAAAGAAAAGAAAGTTTATTTCTTAGAAAAAGTTTATTATTTTGCATATGTATTATGCTACTTACATTATTTAGAATTTCTTATGTGCTCGACGATGTATAGTTTTATTAATTGTCCTTGCACATTAGTAAGTAGCAAATTAGAATAATAGAAAAGAATGCATAATACTAGAAGAGAATGAAGAACAATAGAAAAGAATATAGAATATTAGAAAAGAATGAAGAATAATAGAATAATAGAAAAGTTCGAAGTGAGAAAAGGAAAGTCAGAATATGAGTAATGAAGGAAAAACAGTAGTGTAGTTTGGTTTACTTACTGAGCAATTAGTGCTCATTCTGTTATTTTACTATTTTACAAGTACTGGATGATTTACAATCGGGTGGGACGTTAGTAAGCGGAGGAGTTTGGCAGCACTATCCAAGAATATTTTGTACTTATTAAAGTATATTAGTTTTGTTTTGTTTTTTTTGTTTTGTTTTTTTTTTTTTTTGTGTATATATTTATATGAATTAAAATTAGAGTTTTTGGATTTTACATTACATATATATATGTTTTCAAAAGTTATTTAGTGGATTTTATCATCTCTCTCTCAAAGAAGTACTAGCTAGAGAAAATATTACATTTTTGATATCAAAGCAACGGTTTTCGGAAAAGTATGATCTTTTTATGAGAATTAATTGACAATGTGCCTCTTCTGCCGCATTGACGTACCGTAGCTGACCGTTGTAAGTTATTGCTTTTTCTCACTTGTATTAGACGAGTTAACTTAGTTGACTAGTAGTATTGGTACTATGTGTTTTAGATGAGACGTATGACTCGATCCGGTAATAAGAATGCATTGAGTACGGGTGAGCCATCCTATCCGTTAAGATCTACTCCCCTTGTTCTCGATGAACTGAGGATCCGTAACATCATTCAGCAGGTATTGGTAGAAAATTAGGGAAGACCTATATCAGAGAGAGTTGAGAAACTAGTTGTCGTACCGACTGTTGGAGTAGGTGCCCTAGAGCCAATCAATTATTGTGGAATTGACTCTTTGTAATAATGTTCATTAATCAATAAAAAGGCATTTTATACTATATCGCGTAAATCATTATTATTGCAATATGTATTGATATATGTCCTTAGAATGGTAGAACCGTGACGAGGGTATCAAGTGTTTCAAATCTTGATAGTGAGAACCCTATGAGCAC